CATTATATTTCAAATAGGCTCCTTTTATCACATACAGTCAAAGGTTTCTCCGTTAACGTTTAAAAGTACCTATTTCTAAATGACACTAAAAACATCTAAAAAATCAGATATATACATTAAACCAAGGCTATGAGGCAAGGTCAAAAACGTTAATAATGTTAATAAGGAAAGAGTTAATATTACGAATAAGGAAATGAATTTTAAGTTTGAATTTCAATAAAGAAAAGAAGGGTACATAAAATGACGTAATATCAATTTTATCGATTCCTTCACCCTGACATAGGTAAATTTAATTATATAAAAAAATCATCATTCTTTTTATGACAATAAAATTATACAACGTTAATCCTTCCAAAAGCCTTAGTTGGAACTGTTAAATTAGTTTTATATATAAGTTAAAGTTAAGTTAAAGATAACACTATAAGTATTAAGTATATTTTAACCTGAAATGTATCTTACAAATATTTTGTTAAAGTTGTATTTTAACATTTTTTATAACAACTTCATATATAATTTAACATACTAACAACCATTCTATTGAAGCTACTCAAAGAGAATGTTGGAGGCTCAGTAGTGAACTGTTAGCAAATAAATTACTACAATATAGGTACCCGATGAACAAGCTGTGGTATCACTCAACGGTCTCAGCATCGATTACGTAACGGCCAACCAAGCGGCGGCCATACAAATTTTCGAATTATGTCTTATTGAAATAAGCATTGTTTGGCTCGGTATTGCAGTAGTGAGCCGAGCTGCGCCGCTAGTCACAAGTTTTTTTTTTGTAAAATTAAGAGTTAAAAACGAGTACACAATCGACAGAGAATTCGTCTCTCTTCTTTTCATTGGATAACAAACACGCGGTTGTTGTCGATTCGACAAAACGTATTTTTATGTTACGTTAGTTGAACTTAAACGTAAATTAATCCTTTGCTAAACCGCAGTTTAAAGACCTTATAATAGCGAAACGCCTTTGATGTTAGGCAATGCCGCCGCCTGCGTGAGTATTTACGAAAGTGAAAATAAAATAATTTTGAATATTATAATACTCATTATCATTTATTAACATTATATACATACTTATATGTTAAAAACATTTTTATCGAACAATATCATTTTTTATTACTACGAGAAAAAACACATTTTTTAAATGTGTTTGCAATGCTAAATATTTTCGACACTTTCTCTTTATAGATGTTTGCAGTTTTAGATTGGTAAATTTAATTCTATAACATATTCGCATTAAAATAAACAATTTTATCCAAAAAACGTGGGATAAATACATAAAAATGGCAGTTATTTGAATTCAATTTTACTTAGTAACTATAACAGTGATTCACCATTACAAATTTTATATTTTTGGTAATCTATCTTCTATCACACCATCAGATTCCCAGAAGGGCGATATCATCGTTGGTTTCGTGCCACCACCGTCAACAAACATTCGTTTGCCAACTCTAAGATCTTACGAGTAAGACTGTGGTTAAACTATAAAAACGAATCTTTCGGGAGTGGTCCAATATCAAAATCCTCTACTATAATAATCCTCTACTATAAAAAAACAACATTGAAATTGTGATATTCCTTAGTCCACTCAAAAGTTTAAATAAATGAAATTGAGAGAAAATAACTTTGAGAAACAATATATAAAAAAATTACTTTTAAATAAAAGCCAACTTCAAAGAACTTTAAAAAGTACATTAATTTTATTCCCTTTAGTTTGTTAAGTTGGCTTTTACTTTTATTAAAAGTACTTTTTTATACAAAAATGATACATGCTCTCTTTTGTTAGATAAATAAAAAATGTAATAACATGTCTTAAACAATATTATGTTGTAAGTAATACTTGCAATTTATGTATGCTGTATTGTGCTTTTTTATAGAATAAGGGTGACAAACGAGCATACGGTCCACCTGATGGTAAGTGGATGCTGTGGCCCATAGACATCTACATTTTATCCTCGAATAAGAATCAAAACTCAGTTGCGTTGTCACCCCTGAGACTAAGATGAAATGCCACGTTTCCAGTAAAAAAGGGTCTCCGGATCCCTAAATTCTCTCTCTTCTAAGATCTCGCTTTCTGTATTTGGTCAAGTAGCAATAGTATTATACATACTTACTGGTCTCTCATATTTTGAGCACTGCCTCAATCATTTTTAGCTACTTCGTTTTCAAAATATCGAACTTAAAATAATCTAATACAGAGCACTCACTGGATATCAACATCACTCTACATTATAATCACTCTACTACTCTTTGAACAGTATTACGAGTAGGTAATTAATTTCCTTAACTAACGCGTGTCACAAGCATAAACTTAGCCTATGTTTATGCGTACACGGTATGTTTTTTGAATTTTTGGATACTACACTAAATAAATGAAATTATTTTATTTGTTACCATGATAAAAAATGAGTAGCAGAATTTAAATGACAAGCAATAGACAAACGATCAATAAACGATCAAAACATGATGATAATCCAAATGAGCAGATTAAAATAGGTAGTGATCAATATGCTATTAGCAGAAAGGCACGTATTTAACGATAATTACAAAAACCACTGTGGTTGTCCAATGTCCATACAAATATCACTGCAATTATTTTTTTGTTAAAGTCAGTCGTCTACCAACTGTAGACATGTTCTTAAGGATTTATCAGTCATACAATATTTATTTGGTTAAAAAACAGTTTTTTTAAATAACGTATTAGTAAATTTTGTAGCAACATTTATAGAAAAAAACTGAACTGGTTATTTGAATAAAAAATCAGGAGTGCAATTAGTTTATTATCGTGAGAAAATCTATTATTTCGAGCTCTTTTTTCAGTATTTTTTAAAAATACGAAAACTTTTTTTAAACTAATTGCATTAAATTTTTTAATTAAAACCGAGCAAAGCTCGGTCATCCAGGTACTCTCTAGTAAATAAAGAAAATGTTTTATGAAACTGCATGCGCCGAGTTATTATATCCTAATACTGCAATTAACTCGACAAAATGTTTCAGAAATTTCAGCAGTTTTTAAAGAGTTAACGCGCTATTATAACAGTGCACCTGATGTGAAAAGCTATTTTAGCGCATGCTACCACTTACTATCAACTAAACAACAATAAACAAAGGCCAAAAATAGTTAGTGTTCCCTGAGGACGAAAATTACGTTAACCGCTGCCCGTTATTTAGCTGACTTTCTTATCTTTATAACGGGAATGGAAAACAGTAGTATATATTTTTCGCTATTTGACAGAAGAAATAAAATAAATAAATAAGGTGTATCAAACCCGACGAAGTTATAAGCAAAGAAGAAGCCGAGGCACTCAACAATTATTCAACATTTACGTTACAAAATAATTCACAATATAAGGACTTGAACACATGCCATGTTGTAACGTTAGTTGAAAAGATTTACCGTAGGTATTTAAGCTTACTAAGCAAATTGAAAACAAGTCAACATCGACAATTGTAGACGCATCGGATTTTTTATAATGCCACTGTTGGTTTAATATGTATTATATTAGAGCTAGCTGATAAATTTCCGGTATTATATTATTTTGGACGTCACAAGATTTTTATAACGCAATACAGGCCACCGGAGGACTCGAGGGGAGTATCCATATCGAGAGAATATCCACAAAATTACTTATACATATGTAAAAGGACATATTTGGTAAATTTCATGATGTGACAGATATCGTTTTGGAGCAAAATACTGAACATTTCGGCATTTTTGAAGGACGTTGATTGTGCTGCGCAACTAGATAGAGTCTAGTGAGCAGTGCGACTGCAATTACCCAAGTAACACGTCAAAGCAGTACAACAACCGACTTACAGCATTTTTAATTGTTTTCGCATTTGAGTTAGTTCTATAGTAGCATTACAAACGTTTATGGGTCATTTCAATATAAATATCTGCGATACTTATCGACGAAAAAAAATGCCAAAGGAAATAAAAAATTAAGTTGTTATATTTTCCAGTTAATTTTGAAAGCAAAGGGAAAGAATAATTTTTTTTATTTTTACTAGTCTGAAATTATTATTGTTTTACATTTATTAGACTACATTCCTGACGACTAAGCCGTTCGCTTTTCGCACACGATGAAACGTAACGATTTTTACAAAATACGGGCTTAAAATATATAACGCCTCTTGTGTGCGAATACTGATGTTTTCTAAACTTTTTGAGCAGCCTTTCGTCTAAAGGAACTGAAGATCTGTTAATTAACGCGTATCATTTAACATCGTCATTATCGCCTATAAAGATGATAACATCACCAAGCTCAGGTCTAAAGTTATTTCCGTGTAATTAAAACTCTCTAATTTTGTGTAGCAGAATCTAGGAAATAACTCGATGACTAATAAAAATGTTACGCATCGATACCGGAAGTATGACGAATCACATAACTCAGTAGGTATTTTGACGCTGAGTATTAATTTCTTATAGTATCATTGTGTTTAGCGCATCTCTAAGTATCACGCCATTTAGCGTACATAGAAGGTGTATTCATTTAAATTTTTATAGTATAAATATGTAATGACTGCCTCGTTGGTCTAGTGGTTATAGTAGTGCGACTGCTGATCATGAGGTCCTGGGTTCGAATCCCGATTTCGATTTCGATCGTCGAAACAAAAAAAAAATCAATTATTGAGTTTTTCTGTCAAGAAATTCTCAGTAGCTGCCCGGAGTCAGGAAGTTGGCAGTGTCTCACCCCCGTGCCTCGGAAAGCACGTAAAGCCGTTGTTCCTGCGCTTGATCTCTCTCCGGTCGTGACGGTTTACCGTCCCATCAAATTATGAGAGTGAGGGAATAGAGAGTGTGCACCTGTGCTTGCGCATGCATACACTTGGGCACTATAATCCTGTCCTACGCCGATGGCTAGCCTCCGTTGAGGCAGGCCGCCGTGATCGTAATTCGGTCTGGAGGACATTATTATTATGTAATATAAATATTAATCAACACTGTAATTTAGGTATTTATATAATAATAACTAGTTGTTAATTTTTAATTTCAGGACGTTTAGTAGCAGTAGCAAGGAAGGCAACAGTATCGGTAATGCCACAGCTTCTTATGAGAGAGAGGAAGATGGTGCACCTGTCACCATGAACCGGGAGAACGTGTCAACAAAGATTGCAGCTGGCATGGATCGATGGCAGAATACACTAGAAGAAATGATTCATTTGCGGTCTTCGAATAACCAAGCTTTTAAAGATAACTATTGGGTAAGTGTTAAGTCACCGTGGTAACCTACAATTCACACAACATTTAGTTTTTAATCCTAGAACATAAATATTGTATAAAATTATTTATTGTATGTCGGAATGCGTAGCGCGTAAGTGTACATGTACACGCATAGCACCCACAGCAGGCAGAACAGCCCGCAGCGTGTCAGGAAACGAGCAAAAGTAAATCCCTTTTCTTTGAAGTCGCTAAAAGCATCGAAAACGATGTCGTGAGCCGATTTACACTTGTTGTGTATGAGCATTACGATCACGTAAAGAGGGTAGAACAGGATTATCCAATTGGTACAGAACCACGCTGTGAAAAACGGTGCGTTGTATAGCTTTCTTCGGTGTGCGGAATTTGGTGAAATCGCAGATCTTTATTTATGCGAGATGACGACTTGCAATCTCTCACAGCACTCGTCGTATGAACCATTTTAATTATAATTATCAACACTAAATTTGAAAATTATAAAAGCAAGCGCGCGTTAACCCTGGAAGTCGTGTCCCGAGCTACTAATCATCATAGTCATATTGGTTATCCTAAATAAAATATAATAAAAGTCCTAATGTTCAATTTAGTGTCATACCGGTTATATTGTCATCGTGTCGATGGCAATTATAATGTAATTGCACTATTTGCTGTTGTGGTTAAGGAATGAACCAATGAGGCATTGGAGAAACTAAGTATGTCACTCACCTGATGTTTTCTACTACGCTCAAGAAACAATGTATATTTTACTTTTTAATTTATTTTTCAAAATTAAGTTATATGTGACTATTTGGGAAGTCTAAATACACAGTATCCAGTTGACCAAGCTTTGCTCGGTTTTTTTAATTCGTGTGTTTTAGAAATTATATTTAGATACAAATTACATACTGATGAAATACGAATAATATTTTTTGATCTTAGCGACATAATAGAAAAACCTGAACTGGTTATTTGAATAAAATATCATGAGTGCAATTAGTTTAATTTAAATTTTAGTGTTTTTAAAAAATGCTAAAAAAAGGGCTCGAAAAATAGATTTTCTCAAAAAAAGAAAGGAACTTGAAAAAAAAAATTAAAAAAAGTCGGTCGGTCTGAGCTCGAACCATGGTATTACGATTTTGTGACCGCCCAATATACCAATTAAGCTACTTGTAATCATTAATAAACTGCCAAAATTTACCTTCTTATTCTAACGATATTGTAGCAGTTTTTCATTGCCTAAAAACACGGACAAAAAGACATTTTCTAAAAATAAAAGAATTGCTCGTTTAAAGGTACCTATAGGATAGGTAGTATAGTTATCAAACTTAAATGTTTTGCCGATTGATCAAAGTTGTCTTTGTTATGAAATCTCTTTTTTATAATGGCAACTACGTGGTTTAACAAACATAAATTAAACATGATCAGACATCAAACTATAACAATTTTTTGGTGTTGTATGGCAATTGGCAACAGCACATGGCGCCGTTGCCAAACGCTTAGCCAATGAAAACTTTGTATAATTTATCAAGCTGTCATTATGACAGTAATTGAATTAACCCTTGACCACCTAGCATACATTTTTGTTACACTATCACCTGCCATACGTCTGTGGGACCCAGGTCTTAAATTCATCTAAAGTTTTAAAATAAATGTGTGGGAGGTTTATTTTTTAATTATAATTCGTTTCAATATTTCTTAAATTCTTTATTACAACATGAACAGCACAGAAAAACTTAAGTTTTAAATAATGTCTTTCATAATCAATCAACATCTCTTATTACTTGTTTATAAACTAACATATTTGGTAAATGAGATCTCCAAAAATAATCACATTTTATAGGAAACTAGTACTGCTCTTTTCTAATTACTAAATAATCAGCAAATTAAACAAAAAAAAATCAGTTTAAAAAAATTAACATTTCCACAAAATTGCAGAACCTGAAATTATAGTTTTTCATGGCAGCGAAAACACATCTTATTAGAGCACTCAAGGCAAATTGGTGATTTACATTCAAAACACATGTATTGTGTTTTGCGTTTTTTTGTGTAATCACAAGTTGTACAATTCTTGCGAACTGCCAGCCTTTCTTCAGCATTGCTACCACTTGAAACTGATGGAGTGGCAACCTCGTTTCGCGTGAGAACGCGCCCAATAGCGTTTCTTAAATCACGTGCAGTTTCGTGTTATTGACACGACGTTTCATATGCGGTCTCGTTAGTTGTTCAGCTAGTTTCTTCATAAACTTGAATCTGCTTTCAATCTTCAGTCCTTCAGGTTGGACTGATAAGTTCACGACGTAGCAGTTTGAAGCAGAAATATCAAGAAGTCGATAAAATACTACCAAGGGCCAGTTTGAGTAGATTCATCAATATCTGGTGTCTGGTACTTACTCGAAATTGTAATTACTGCTTTATTTTGTTTTGGAACATACGATGAAATAGTAAAATCTTTTGATATAGTAGAATCGATGTTTCGGTGGCGAGAAGGCAAAAATTCTGGAGGATTTCTCTTTGATTTTTTCGAAGTCGTCGCCCGTCAACTGTATCTTTTTTAGTGAGTCTAAGAGCTCAATAGAAGTGTACCAATTATCAGTTGTGACATTTCTGTTGGAACCTGCTACTACTACTACCAATTGGAGGAATGAGACGCATAACCGCTTTAGTTGGTTTCTTTAGTTGCTGACATTCAGCTGGTAAGTTAAGTCCGTCAGAATCTTTGCCTTTGTATAAATAGGCATTGAGTAAGTAGCCAGATCTTGCATCTGTAAGACATTGAATTTTTATCCCGTACTTAGCTGGCTTCTTTGGCATGAATACTTTACACCTGCATCGTTCCCGGAACGCAACCAACATCTCATCAATACATGCGTAACTGCCGATTGCATAAATAGCCTGGCAACGGGAAATGAAGGAATCAAAGAGATCAGTTATAGGTGCAGCTGCATCTACTTCATGTTGGGCCTGTCTGGTCGCTGCAATGTCAAAAGGTATTGAATTTAGTAATACTTCGAGCCTATTTTTACTCATAATGCTGGGGTAAATTTCCCGACCAGTGCCGTCGCAGAATACCATGATGTGTAGTCTTCGTGGTTTTCTTTGAAAATTGCCGTATAAAAAAGGAATCCAATAAATACCTTCAATTTAATGAGGTCTAAATCTTGAACACAGGTTTTATTTTGATAGTTCGGCCTTATTTCATTTATCTTCACGTTAGTGTTTACAACAATTTTTTCAAGCATTTCGTCCGTAAACAAGTTTTGCCAAATATCTAGCGGAGACGGAGAAGATGATGCATTTAGCTTACTCTGATATGTTGACCTTACTTCAGGTGGTTCTTGCACAATATTATGATGTAACTAACGTTCGCGATCGAGAGGAAGGAGGTACGGAAGACCATCGTAAGCGATTTTTTCCGAAAAAGTTCTTTTTCCTTGGCCGCGATCGCATTTGTGATAGGGGCTCATCATCTTCAGATGAAAACGCTTCATCATCTGGTGGAATCGAAGATAAAGAATTTTGACACAAAGAATTTTCCCTCTCAGCTGTCTCTTCACATTCGGAATTTGATCCATAACTTTCTTCTAACACATGATTCAAGTCTACGTCACAATCCACGTCGCTACATTCATCGCTTGGTATGTTTTCTTCATCTGATAGATCTTCTTCTAACCACCGCTGAATATTTAAGTCGTTAGAACTCATTTTTTTCCTAAACAAAAAAAATACCCGTATTAAAAAATCACACAACCACCTATCAGAGGTCTCCGAGACCGCAAACAAAAGTTTTTTACTCGCCAGAGACAAACGAACGTGCGTCAAACCTCGACATGCCGTCGCGCGGTACTGACTAGTGACTACTGAGGAGGGAAGTGAAAAGGTACATGAACCGACAAGTTCATACGCAACTCGGGCGCAACAATATTTACGATTATAAATTCCACAAGATCAGTCAGACGTAGGGCAGGTGGTAAAGGGTTAATATAGATAAAAATGAGAAGCTCCTTATTAGATGGTAACACCTTAATACACCACACTATTAATATCGTCAGGAATAGAGTCTGATCTAAATTACTATCTTGTCTAATACCGAATCTACAGGTTGAAGCATCACTCAGGTTCTTATTTATTCTGACGAACTGCTGTCTACACTCCACGTAACTTCGAAACCATTAATGAACTCGAACGCTGTCACCTAAGCTTACTACATTCAGCATAAGTATCGGAATATATGTCAAAACTTTTTGTAGGATGAGTAAAACACCAATAACCTCCTCCCCCATGAATGTTAATTTCAATAAAGTGTCATCCGTCGATCTTTTTTTGCAAAATTGATACTGAAAATCTGTCAATTTAGTGCGAATATTCGGAATGTCACCCAAGTGTGGATTGTAACCTCAGTAAGTCTGGTACTTCGATGGGCGAAAGGAGATAACGGTATAAGCTTATAAAGCTCATAGGCATACTCTCCGAATTACAATTTGTAGAAGACCGACAAAACAAGCAACTTATAGTTAAAACTCATAACCGGTCAAAAATACTTTTGACTGCGAAAATCAATTAAATGGGAAAGGATATTGACCAACGTCCGTAGTCATAACTACTTTTGTCTGATTTTTGTAGTTAAAAGATAAGGCCGGTTTTAGAGCTCGACCAACTGTCGGTGCGTGCCATCGGTCCTGACGATACGCATAACCGATCGTCAGTTTGTAGCGTTCAGAGCTCTCCTGAGCAACGAACTGGCCGGACTGGTACAGTCACAAACACGTACACGAAATGGACGCGTTTACAAATTGTTTAATTGCTGCTTACTATGTTCGTAAACGTATAAGGAACAGAAGACGTAGATATCAGGTTCACCCAATCGTCGCCCAAAGAGCACTTCAAGGGGAATTTACTACTTTATATTCATTATTGCGCGAAGATGAAGAAAATTTTTTTAATTACTTTAGAATGTCAATCAAAAGTTTTGATGAATTATCAGTGAAATTACAAGACAACTTAAAACATCCGCGAGGCGTTCGGTGTC